ATGAGCCGTGGTGGTTGTAGTAGTTCACATATACTACGGTAATGTTGGCCATAGTATTAAGGTAATTACGGTATCTGTATGAGCCACTTTACTATCTGTATACCGGCATTGGAGTTACAAGTAAACGGCAAGCAGACGTATCTTCTCCCTGTCTCCGTGTGCCCTTCCTTCACCTACAAATATTACAGTGGTTTCTTGGTCTCCTGCGTCCTCCTTGTATGAAGGAGAATCAGTGACTCTTCACTGTCGACATGGAGACCAGAGAAAGGAGAAGAATGCTGACTTCTACAAAGACAAAACACTTATTGAGATGGACACAAACCATCAACACACACATGAAATCACCATTTCTCTGATGTCTGATGGGAGCTCTTACAAGTGCAGATTTAAGGACAAAGAATCTGAAATAGAATATTTGAAATGTAAGATTAGTTACTATGTTTAAAGACATTGTACCCAAACACCTGTTTAACACATGAAGACAGATAAAAAGATGGAGGACATCAGCAGTGACAGTAATCCACCAAGGACTCATCATAACACGTCTTTATTCTGTCAAACCTCTTTCCAACAGATGTCCCTCGTCCTGTCCTCACAGTGTCTCCATCATGGACGAGTCCTGGAGACTCAGTGACTCTGACCTGCAGTGTTGGACCTCCGTCTGCAGGATGGAGGTTCTTCTGGTATAAGGCTGTTCCAGACCTGTCACGCTACTACACCTACTACACCTATGAGCTTCTAGCTGGTGGCACCACTGGGACTGAACAGGATTCCTACATTCTTCATGGACAGACACACACAGCAGGATATGTGTGCAGAGCTGGAAGAGGAGATCCTGTGTTTTACACTCAGTTTAGTCGTGTGAAGTTTGTCTGGTCTGGAGGTGAGTTTGTTCAGACTTTTATATTCTTGCACAAGGGAATAAATGTCCTTTTTGTGTTGACATTGTTTGTCCTGTGTGTGTCTCCTAATGATGTGTCTTCAGGTGTGAATCCAGCAGCGTCTCTCACAGTGAGTCCTCACAGACTGCAGCACTTCAGCACAGAGTCACTGTCACTGATCTGTGAGGGAAACTCTGCTGAGTGGAGAGTGATGATGGCCGATGAAGATGGCCGCCTGTCACCCTGTTATTACTGGGGAGAAATGACTGGATCCACATGCAACACCGACACTAGAGCGAGTAGTGGAGTGTACTGGTGTGAGTCTGAAACACAGTCCAGCAATGCAGCCAACATCACTATACACAGTGAGTTTATATTCATTTAAAGGTTTTTATATCTAAAGTATTTACACATCTTATTGCAGAGTGCTGACATTTCTAAGGTGACTTCATGATGAGTTTAACTCAATATTTATTTTAACAAACGACTCAACAATCTTAGTTTGTTGCAGCATCTTTCTGTTGGGTGGTGTAGTCGGTGGATCCAAATACACACTCACAGCAGTTCTAGTTCAATCACCTGATTTTATTCACCAACCAAATTGTGAAGAGAACAAAACAAGGCAAAGAAGAACATGAGGAGCTCCTCAGGCTCTACTGGAGTCGGGAGGGAAACTCCACCGACATCTCGCGGTCTGGAGGGATTGAGCAGAGGTCTGACACCTTAAGCAGAGTCCGCTGAACTGATAACGGTGCATTCTGTGGTCCAACGAGGGTCTGACGCTGAAGGGCAGAGGAAAACAAAAACATGCAGACAGGTTGAGGGTAAATTGATAGAGAGACCAACGGCACCTGAGACCAGCGTGTGAACTGGACGGACTGATGACTGTCACCGTTTGGCTTTGTTTCCTGTTTTATTTAGTGGTTTCCTGTCTTCCCCTGTGATTGTCTGCCGTGTGCCTGATTGTTTCCACCGGTGTCCAATCACCTGCACCTTCCCAGTGTATTTAAGCAATGTGTGTCTCTTAAGTAAGACATACATTCTATGACGCGACTGGGAACAAGTTAATCCATGAAATGCAGCTATTCGCTCAGCTACTGTGTGAATGTGAATAACAAATGTAAACTATAAATGTCTTCTCCTCATTGTTCATCAGCTTGTTTGACTTCCTGTCCTCTGGTCTCTTTACAGGTGGTGATGTCATCCTGGTGAGTTCTGTCCGTCCTGTGACTGAGGGACATTCCGTCACTCTTGGCCGTAAGTTGAGGACAGAAAACCTTCTTTATAATGTGGATTTCTATAAAAATGACAAACTCATCCCAAATCCTGTCAGAGGGGAGCTGCTTATCTCTGCAGTTACTAAGTCAGATGAAGGCTTTTATAAATGTAGAGGAAGGAAATCACCTCAAGGTTTGGAGAATTTGACCTCAGCAGAGAGCTGGTTGTCAGTGAAATGTGAGTACGAGTTTTGTAACATGTGTTACAGTCTGAGTGAGAAAAGGTGTCACTGAATTAGAAGTTATCTTAAGATAAACTATTTGTTTGTGTGAGACAATATAGTTTTAAAGATGTTCATGTTCAGTAAAAACACATAATATTAGAGATGTAACATGACCAGCAGTGAAAGGTGAATGTTGTGTGATCAAGGCTTCATGTTTGTGTATTTGAGTGTGTGTGTTGTAGTACTTGTTTAGCACTACAACACATTAGTACCTGTGTTTTTACTAGTTTTACTTTGTTTTAAGTATGTTTTTCTGGCTCTGTGACACTCTGAGATCTGTTGATGAAGAGTGTGTTATAAATAAACTGTATTATTATTGTTACTTGTGTATCTCTTCATGGTTGGTGTGTACTTGTGTGTAGATCCTGAAGAAGCAGCATCAAGCTCTGTGTTTCTCGTGCCGTTGGTTGTTGGTCTGGTTTCTGGAGTTTTACTGATTATTCTCCTGCTGCTGTTTCTGCGTCGCTACAGAAAGTCAGAAGGTGAGATCTTTTCCTTCTGATATCAGACTGATTTCACTGAAATAAGTCAAAGTCACAGATATTATTACACACACTAATTAATGATCAATGTGAAACCTTTTTCTTGCAGCTTCAAGCCTCAGCAGGTTGGTACAAGCCTCTCTTCTCTCACTCTGAACATGGCAGCAGGACTTTACATGTTCCTCATTAAATCCTCTGTATTTACTTCATGTTTTGGACCCACAAGGTCTCAGAGGACCAATCAGAGTGCAGCTACAGACCACATGATCAACCAGGGTGAAACTAAAGACGGACATTACGCTTCTGCTCCTCCTGGTCAGCTTTAATCCTCATCACACAGCTGTTAGAAATACTAGAATTAGATGATTCAAAGTCAATGCAAACTGTCTTGAATCAAACAAGATTTATAATTTCAGATGAATCCAGCCTCACATATTCTGTGGTTGAGCTCAAACACCTTAAAAAGAAGGGTATGTGATTTACTTTGTATAGTGAGAATCACCTTTTGACAGCTGAGATGATTTTGTTCTTCTCATCAAAGTTCTTCATGTGGTCTTTGTGACAGAGAAGCACGATGAACCAGACGAGAGCCCCGTTTACTCGGATGTGAGGATCCCATCAGCTGCAGGTACAGTCAACGCCAACACAGCTTCTAGTATTTAACAGGTGCTACCTGCTCTAGTTTAATACGTTCATACGTCGTCCAACGTGGCCAATGTCAACAATATACACATCCTGCATACAAGTACACAACAAAGTACACAACAGACTTTAGACCGAAATTTGTTGGTCATTTAAATTATTTGTTAATTAGAAATGATGACAATACTGTGCAGTCGTGAATCAAACATGAGGGGGATGCCATATTTAATTTATTTATTTATTAATTTTTCCATTAATTTTTCTTATTTTGTGCTTTACATCTCTGAGGACGACGTATATCAGTACATTATTTTTTTAAACTAGAGCACTACTGGTAAACATGCAAAAATAAGATCTTTTCATTGGTAGGAAAATCCAGATGTGCAGCAGAAGAGGAAACTCTTTATTCTGAAGTCAAACCAGGAACATCTGGTAATGAAGCCGTTTATCAAGCAGATTATTTCACATAATTAAACGTCATAAAGCACCTATGAGCTCATCTTAAATAACCGTCATTGTTTTTTTTCTTTGTTTCTCTTCCAGATCAATAAAGACGTCCGTGTGGACAAAACCACCGACATGAAAAACAATCTCTTCAGGATATAAGATGTGTCCTTAAACAGCTACAGAGCAGACAGCTTGGTGTTCTGTGGAAGCCTCTTCCCTTGTTGTAGTCTGCTTTGGATGGATGAGGTTCTGGTTAAAAAGGATCATGTGATCTTTGCAGGTTTCTTCATCGTATCCAGAGAGGTAGAGTCCAAAAAAAGAGCGTTGATCTTTCTTTCCCCGATACGTTAGCGTAGCAGAGAGCCGTGATACTTCCCCCGGGGACACGAGAACCCTTCATCTCATGGAGCCATTTCATTATCTGACAAACAGTTTTAGGTTTGTGAGGTTGTTTTTGTTGCTGCTTATTATATATTATAATTACAGTCTGCTGAGTGCTACTGAAATTCATTTTAAATGTTAGATATAGTCTGAAGTAGCGTAAAGTCTTTTGCTTGCATCCTTAAATCCCTATAATACTTTTTTTCCAGTAAAAGTGGATAAATAGAATCTCACATGGAGTGTTTGTCTCTTTTCTGCCTGAGATTGTATATTTTTTCCTGCATACTTACAGACGTCTGGAGATGTCAGAAGACTTTTAGTGCTGCAAAAATAATGGATCCATTTCAAAGGGAATGTTAGCAACTGATGTCTGTAAGAAAGCAAAAATCAAAAGCTTTAAGACTAATCAGCAAACTCCTGCCATCCTCCTTTATCGTACTGAGAGATCTAAATATGATCTATTAGTTACTGAACACAGCTTTGTTATGGAGAACTGAACTCAATTGAAAACATTAAATTCCCATTAAGGGATTTTTCTCCTCGAAAAAAACTGCAGATTTTCCAATAAAATCCACTAAAATACCATTTAATATCATCCACCTTCGCCGAGTTATTCTTAACACGGAGGCTATTTCTACATGTGATTACTTTAAGGTGCCTCGATTGATAAATAAGTCCCTTTCTGCACTTTCCAGACTTTGAGAGAGAGAAATGTGACTCAGCTAAGAAGCTTTAAACTCTTAAACTCCTCTTCATGTGTAACTCATAGAGGTTTGAGTTCAGGCCACAGACAAAACGCTGTGATTTCCAGGCAGTGGAAGAAAGTCACAGAAGCCACATGAGTCGTGGAAGAAGTAGAAAGTGAGCTGATGGTTGGGGGAGGATGCATGAGGGATGCAGCGTCTGCAGTCACCACTGGGGGGCAGTGATGCACTAAAAGGCCCAACAATGCACCTCCTATGTTTGCCCACCTGTAGCTCTTCTGCCTTCATCAATTAGGTGGCTGAGGATGACGAGGGGAATCGGTCACAGCAAAGACTCATCGCTCAGCGTGTAAATGATGCGTTTCTGTAGTTTGTGCTGTCAAAGCTATTATGGGAACTCTGGATTATTTAACCAGATGAAAGTGTATCTTTCTGAATATTAAAAAATGCAGATTTATCTCCCATTCTACATTATGAGGGTTGTTTTAATCACAGCTGTGGGTCAATAAAGCGAACCAATGACTTAATGTCTGAACATGTTTGTTGTGGAATAAAAATCAAAGCGGCCTATTCTCTGGTGGTATTTCCTTGTGCCTACATTACCCAGAATGCAACCTGACCATTCACAGTTCTGTTGGAGAGGTGTTGTGCTATTAGATGCTAATGCTAATGTAGCCTTGAGCTGCTCAAGCAGAGATGAGAAGAAGGTTCAGTAAATGTGAGCAAATCCTTTTCAACAACCTCACGTGTGTTTACTCGTTCTCTTTATGTAGCGTAAAAGGAAACGTCACAAAATCAACACAGAAATTCAAATATTAAAAAAACGAGAAGTGACAGACTTTTTATTTTAAAACGTAAGATAACGAATGATGACTTTGCAAACTGGGAAACACAAAGTAGAGTAAAGTAGATGGGTGGGAGTAAGAAGTGATGCTTTGGCGGCTTTCTAACACGACGCTACTTTATCTGCTGGAGTAACAAGAGAAACTGCATTGAAAAAATACACACAAAGGGAAATGTCAAGAGCAGAATGTTATAAATATCTTTCCCCATAAATATTGCTGAAAAGGCAACAGAAAATGGCTTTAATCATCCAGATCTGAGCTGATATTTAAGAACAATAAGCAAACAGCAGTATTGTGTGTGTGATCGTTCATGCTAAACTAAGTCAATAAATAAATAAATACATACATCCATAAGGTTCAGTACCTATTACTTCAAATCCTTTTCTCATGCATTATTAGTAAAAATAATCATTCAGTACGTAAGGAGGTAAAAAGTCATCCAACACAAATAACCAGTGGCTCCTTATTAAAAGATCCCAGAGTTTCGATGAGCTTTTTGGGGCGACTGAAGCAAACTCCTAAAAATTCCCTCATCTGACCAAACGGCCGCTTTCTGGAATCTGGAGACACGGACGAAACTCGAGTACCGTTCAGCCTGTGGGGAAACCTTCTGCGTCACCGCATCGAGATGACGAAGAGGTGACGCACGTGATGGAGGGAGGTTTTGGATCAGGTGAAAGAGAGAGACATCACTTCAACATGGCGGCCAGACGAGACGTCCAAATGCATAATAGATTTTAACAATCAGCAGCGGTCTTCGTGTCCCCGCTTGCTCCCAACAAAGTTGAGGAAAGCGATCGAGTTCAGTTCCTTTGTGTCAGTGCAGTTTAGCTTCGTTGTTCCTCTTCAATATTCACGGCTTCACGGCCCTCAAGTTCTCCCTTTTTGTCCTATTCATAGACATAAATTAACCCAAGCCTTTTCAAGTAAAGCCCCCATCGGCTCTCTGCCCCCCCCCCCCCTCCTCCCCGTTGAGTCTTCTTCACCTTAACTGGCTGGTGGTCCTTTCTCAAGGCTGCAGACAGTCTAGCGTCCCTTCAGAAATCCATCCAGCATGTAGTCGCCCTTCTCGGTCAGCCAGTATCCGGCCATGGCGGCCACACCCCCGATGAAGATGGCGGTGAAAACCATGTCGCCCTTAGCGGCCAGCGTAGCTATGGCGCAGATCACGATGCCGAAGAACATCTCCTGCAGCACAAGGACCTCGTCGTCCGTCATGTCGTCAAACAGACCCTTCTCTGGGCCAGCTGAGGAAGAGGAAGGTGTCAATTTGTTTGTTGGATCATAGAAATAGAAGCCTCGCTCTATTCTCTGTAGGTCTACGGCCGCTTACCAGGAGGCTTGTTCTCAACACAAATGCTGTCTCTCCTCATGAATCCATCAGCACAGTCACAGTGGAAGGAGCCCTCCTCGTTGATGCAGGCCTCGTTGAGTCCGGGCCACGCGATCGCCTGATCACCGCATTCATCTACATCTGTGCCAGGAAGCAACGAGTGAAAAATAACAGTGAGGGGAGAGGAAAGGTGCCGCGGGCTTCTTCTGCACGGGAGGAGAGAGAAGAAGCGCTGCGTCCTCACCGAGACACTTCGCCCCTCTCAATTTGTAGCCACGTGCACATTTCTTGCAGCGGGCGGGGCCGGTCCCCATGCAGCCCACACACGCCTGGTCACAGCCTGTGGACGACAGAAGGTCACGGTCACCTGCTGCAAAACGCCTCCTGTTGCAGGAAGGACTGAATGGGGCAAGCAGTGGAGAAACGCACCTCTGCATTCATAAGATCCTTCTGTGTTGTGACAGAAGGTGTTAGAAGGACAACGAGCCAGCTCCGTGCCGCACTCGTCCACATCTGAGAGACACGCAGGGGAACAACGACAAAGCTCAAACAACACACAAACAACGCACAAACAACTCGCATCCAGGAAAATAAAGTCAATGAAACGTCACCGCGGGACCTCCGGTGCCAGACTCACCCACGCACTTGTTGTCATGAAGGATCCATCCGGGTTTGCAGTCGAGGCATTTGTAGTCCTGCGGCCCCGCGCATTTCTTACACAAGTGGAAGCAAGCTGCACAGGGAGGGGGATCGGGGGGGGGTGTTGTGTCGCAGACTCGACAAACACGACAAAAGGATCGGACAGGAGACTCGGTAGAAAAGTAATGCGTGTGTGTTTAATGGACGTTGCGTGACACAAACAAATACCCCGCATCCAGTGCCGGTTCCCTCTTTTATATGGATGCCCCGTAGGGACAAACTTACGATCAATACACAACATCCCTCCCCCTTTACTTTTAACTTCCCCAACCATGCAGACGTAAACAATCTCTTCTTAGTATCATCACAGCCCCTCTGCTTTAACAATCGTACCCAATTACCTTTAACAGATACCCAAAAATAACCTTCCCCTGAACTAGGGAAAGAGGGTAGACTACCTCCATTCCCAGACTTGACCCTGGGGGGTATTCTGCCCCAATGTTGGAGGTTAGTCTCGTCGCTACATGTTCAATCTGTCCGGGGGTCGTCGTTCTCTTGTGGGGTACCGACGAAGTACGGGTAAGTCTACTATTCCACTGTCACTGGGTCTGAGTGGTGATGGTGTAAGTCCCTGCCGCGGTGCGTCAGCACCTTGAGTCGGCACACCCCCTGGTTCAGGTGAGGAGGGAACACTTTCCCTGTCTTTGTGTTGCGGCAGTGGATGCTCAGATGATGGCTGAAACCCCTGGAAGGCTTCCAGTAGCTGTTCTGGGTTTGTCATTTGACCCGAGTCATCACTGAGGTTGGTGCCTGACAACAGTTGATCTACATGTCTCCTCCAGATGATGTTCTCTGGTGTTTGGACTGTGTAGGACACTGGACCTGTTTGAGCGACCACAGTTGCTTGTACCCACTTTGGACCGTTACGGTAGTTCCGAACAAGAACTCTCTCTCCAGCTCTGAAGCTTCGGTCCTTTGCTTTGTTCCGCCTCTCCACCTGCGCTCTTTGTTGTGTCTGTACGGCCTGCTTAACCTTTGAAGGTCTCAGAAGGTCGAGTTGTGTGCGAAGCTGTCTTTTCATCATGGCTGACGCGGGGGCCACCTTGGTTGTAGCATGCGGGGTGTTTCGGTATGTCAACAGAAAGGTGTTTAGGCGCCTGTTAAGCGATCCGTTTCCCTGCGATGATTTTAGAGCCTGCTTCATCGTCTGCACAAATCTTTCCGCTAGGCCGTTTGTGGCAGGGTGGTACGGCGCTGACTTGATGTGTTGGATTCCGTTTGCTTCCATGAATGACTGGAACTCTTCAGACACCAGTTGCGGCCCATTATCACTAACGAGTTGAGTGGGCAATCCAAAACGACTGAAGATTGACCGTAGCTCTTCGATGGTTCTCTCTGATGAAGTGCTCTTCATTATGGCGACCTCTGGCCATTTGCTGTGTGCGTCCACGACAACTAAGAACATACGATCCTCCAATGGACCTGCAAAGTCTATGTGGACTCTCTGCCATGGTTCCTCTGGGAAGTCCCACGGGTGTAGTGGCGCTAGCTGTGGCATGTTTCTCATCCTTTGACATGCGGTACAGGATTTTGCTTTGTCTTCAATAGCTGCGTCTAAGCCTGGCCACCAAAAAATAGCTGCGCGCTATCTCCTTCATTCGCACCATGCCACAGTGCCCTGAATGGAGTTCCTCAAGCACCTGCTTTCTAAGTGGCGGCGGAATGATGACTCTATACCCCCATAACAAACATCCAGCCTGGACCGTGAGCTCGTTCCTCCTCCCCAGGTAAGGCTTTAGACTGACCGACATCTCTCCGCTTCTCCCACAAGTGACAATGTCCATGACCTCAGCCATCACCGGGTCCGTGCGGGTGAACTTCTTCACGTGGGCTGAGGTAACTGGGGCGTTGCTCACTTCCTTAAAGTAAAAGATTTTGGCCTGGGAGTGCTCCCTGTGTGTGACAGGTAAAGGAAGCCTTGAGAGGCCGTCTGCATTACCGTGCTGATCAGCTTTTCTGTATTTGATGTCGTACTGGTGGGCGGACAACAACAAGGCCCATCGCTGCATTCGGCTGGCAGCGAGCGATGGTATTCCAGTGTGAGGACCAAAAATGGAAGTGAGTGGCCTATGGTCTGTGAGTAACATGAATCGCTGTCCGAACAGAAACTGATGGAATTTCTTTACTCCGAATATTATCGCAAGTGCTTCACGCTCGATCTGTGCATAATTGCGCTCTGCTTTGCTTAAGGTCCGTGATGCAAAAGCAATAGCCTTTTCTTCACCTGATGGCATTATGTGTGAGATCACCGCCCCCACACCATAAGGTGATGCGTCACAGGCCAACTGTAATGGCCAGGCAGGATTGAAGTGGGTGAGGGCTTCTGAATGGACCAAAGCTCTTTTAGCTTCCCTAAAAGCTTCCTCACATCTGTCCGACCACTTCCACTGTGTGGTTTTGTTCAAAAGCTCATGCAGTGGTTTTAGCAGGTTCGATAAATTCGGTACAAACTTTGCATAGTATGTCAGTAATCCCAAGAATGATCGCAGCTGACTCACATTTTGTGGCGACGGAGCTTCCTCGACAGCTTTCACCTTGGATGGCGCCTTGTGCAGCCCAGCACCGTCGATAATGTGGCCCAAGTACTCAACTGATCCATCCTTCTTGGATGGATCTATCAGAACAACCGGTGTAGCCCATTCACTAACGCGTACCAAGTCCAATACCCCACTCTTGACTAGTTTGTCTAGTTCCGCTTCCACCTTTGGCTTTATGGCATATGGGACAGACCTGGCTTTGAAGCATTTGGGCTTGCTGTTTGGTTTCACTGTCAATTTAACTGTTATGTCCTTCATCCTTCCAAGTTCGTCCTTGAAAACTGCCGCATGTTTTCTCAATATTCCTTGCAGGTTTATGTCCCCAACCTTTGCAACCATATTAATTTCCTGCCAGTTTAGTTTGATCTTTTCCTAGCCATGTGCGTCCTAGCAAAGCTGGCTGACTGCCCTTCACAATGTAGAGTGGTAGCTTTACCTTCTGTTTGTTGAGCTTCACTGTTACAGTCACGATTCCGCTCACCGGTACAGCCTCACCGGTGTACGTTTTCAGCGTGATCTTTGCTGGCTGTGGTTTGAGGTGATGTAGTTTCTTCCGGTATACCACCTCAGACACCAAAGATACCGCTGCTCCCGTGTCCACTTGCATCCGTACTGCTTTTCCATCCAGCAGCGGTGTAACCCAGTATCCCTGTCCATCATCTGAAAGAGACAAAACATGCAAAGACTCTTCCCCTTCCGATGGGGTATCACTTTGTTCTTCCTCTGTGCGCTCCAATTTGTGCACTTTATTTTTGTACTTCTTGAAGTCACTTTTCCTCTGTTCAGTATTTTTGGATGACGGCCCCTCTTTGTTTTTACATACACGCTCAATGTGACCCTTTTTGCCACAACTTCTACAGTCCAAGTCTTTGCACCAACACTCCTCTGGGTGGTGACCTGTTCTCCCACAGCGATAGCATGGCTTTCCACCAACAGTTTTGCTTCTGACATTGGTAGACACCTTATGCACTAGGGTTAATGTACTTAGCTGCTGTGCATCTTTGTTTGCCATTTCCATTGACAGACTCACTTCTAAGGCTTTCTGCAATGTTAAGTTAGCCTCCGTCAAAAGGCGTTTCTGTATTGTCCCACTGCGCATGCCGCACACCAGCCTATCACGTATAGTGTCATTTAGAGAATGTCCAAACTCACAGTGCTCAGATAACTGTTTCAGCACAGCCACAAACTGGGAGATTGACTCCCCCTCCTCTTGATTCCTCTTGTGGAATCGGAACCTCTCAGCAATGATCAGAGGTTTGGGAGAATAATGTGCTTTCAAAGTTCCCACTATTTCCTCATAGCTTCTGTCACCGGGCTTCTCAGGCGTTACTAGGCTGCGCAGTAGATTAAACGTCTTTCCCCCCATGACAGTCAAAAACGTTGGCACCATCACCTCCGACTTGATGCTATTAGCTAACACAAAGTACTCAAAACGTTCCGTGTACGAACTCCATTGTTCCACCGATTCATCAAATGGTCCCATGTTTCCAATCGGAGCCGCCATTGCATCACTTTACTCACTTCCCTTTGTCGTTCAACACTCGGAGATTCCGCTTTTTTTTTTTTTTTTTTCCCCGGCGAACTCTTCCAGTCCCGCCGACGTGCCGTTGGAAGCTAACGCCGGTTTGCTTAACTCACCGCCTCCTCTCCGCGTCTTCGTGCCGCGCAAAAAAAATTTTTAAACTCAGACTTTTCACCGAGAATAATACGCGTGAGAACATCCCATTCTCGTCGCCAGTTTTGTTGTGTCGCGGACTCGACAAACACGACAAAAGGATCGGACAAGAGACTCGGTAGAAAAGTAATGCGTGTGTGTTTAATGGACGTTGCGTGACACAAACAAATACCCCGCATCCAGTGCCGGTTCCCTCTTTTATATGGACAGTCAGAACTAAAAGTGTGCCATGCATAGAATTCAAGGCTGTAACCGAGGAGCTAATGTTTCCTCCCTAAAAGTTAGATTAATATAGCATGTAATGAAAGACATTTAGTGTAAGGGCATGTTAATTAACCCTACTATATTATGTTTGGGGTCAATTTGGCCCCAGGCTGTTTTAGCTGTATAAACAAAACACACGACTCTGCTGGAATAGTCTCAGAGCCTCAGGATGAGGACCAGCCATCTACCTTTACATCTGGAAAGAAACGATCAGTTGTGTTTGTGCGTGTGATTGAGTGGTGAATGTAAACTGTGATAAGAAGCAGCAGGAGAGCACCGTGTTAACCTCTTGGTGTCCTGCACGCTCAAAACCTCATAGCGTTGTTTATTAAGCATTGTTTATTAAGGCTTAATAAACAATGCTTAATAAACAAATACTAACCAGCTTCTGATCGCCTTCTTAATACCTCATTTTGTTATTGTATTTATATTATGTGTATCCATTGTTTCGCTTTGAAAGGCTCCTGTTTAAGGATTTATTTGTTGCACTTTTTTGTTTGATAATGAAAAGTATTTTTCCCTGACTAAACTTGTCATTTTTTGCTGAACATAAATCATTAAGTGCTCTTAAGAATACAATTATTAACAGTATAGGTGAGGTTTCAGTTAAGAATTAGTTGAATACCGTTGTAATCAAAATGTCAATCAACTTAAATTGGTC